CGCTCCTCCACCAGCTCCCTCAGTACTCTTGGGTGGATCCCATCAGGCCCCATAGACTTGTGGGTGTCCAGGTGTCTTAGCAGTTCCTTAATTGTTTCCTGCTGGATTATGAGGAGTTTATTATATTCTCCATCTCTGTCTTCCAGCTCAGGGGGCTGAATACCCTGCGGATACGTGGACTGGTTATTAAAGACTGAGGAAAAGAAGGCATTAAGTATCTCAACTTTGTTCTCATTCTTGGAGACAATGTTCCCCACCATATCCAGTAAGGGATGGAGATTCTCCTTGCCTCTCTTCTTGTTGTTAATATGTTTATAGAAGCATCTTTTGTTACCCTTTATGACTATGGCCAGACTGAGCTCTAGCTTGGCTTTTGCCTTTCTAATTTTGTCCCTGCCTGACCTAACAAGATCCTTGTACTCTTCCTGAGTTGACTTCCCTTCCTTCCAGAGGTGATAAACTCTCCTCTTTTCCCTGAGTCCCAGCAAAATCTCGTTGTTCAGCCAGGCCGGTCGCCTTCCCCGCCAGCTCATCTTACAGCCTATGGGGACTGCCTGCTCCTGCACCTTTAAGATTTCCTTCTTGAAGGCTGTCCAGCCTTCCTGGACCCTTTTGCCCTTCAGGACAGTCTCCCAAGGGACTCTCTCAACCAGTGACTTGAACAGGCTGAATCTCTGCCCTCCAGAAGTCCATGGTAGCAGTTTTGCTGACCCCACTCCTTACTTCACTAAGAATTGAGAATTCTATCATGTCATGGTCGCTAAGCCCAAGACGGCCTCTGACCAACGCCATCTCCCACCAGTCCTTCTCTGTTTGTAAACAGCAGGTCAAGTAAGGCCAAACACCCTAGAGGAAAAAGGGAGACTTCTTTTTTCTACTCATGAGGTAATCAGCTTGGTTCAGCTTTTACACCCCTGCAAGTTTTCAACACTGGGAAAAGAAATGTAGACCACGGGTTGGATGTGAAATAGATGGCAGAAATATCCAGCCAGACCCTTGGTAGGAAAAACTGGGCAAGCTTGCGGAGTGGGAGTGCAGGGAGCAGGAATTGCCCTGGATCCTGAAACAGAGTCGATAATCATGGGGTGGACTGCTATGCTCTTCATTCAACTGGAGAAGAGGAAATCCATGGCCAGTTTCTGTTTCCTTCCTCCTGATTTCAGTGGTATAACAACCCCAAATCCACACGTTACTAAGGCATAATGAGCAGCAAGGGGAAATAAAGCCTAATCCATAATTAGACATTACCTTCAGGAAATACCTGAAAGGGTCGTGTATGTCTTAGGAGTCAAGAATGAGTGTAGTTTTCATTACAGAACACATTACATCAGGCAATTGTGGGGTTACACCTGAAATTCCTGGAATGATGAGAATAAGAAAAATAACATTATGGCCAATTAATTTGCAGGGATGGGGAGTAGTAGATAAAACAAACAGGACCTGGAGCTGAAAAAAGCCATAAGCAGTATGATATCTGCTAAAGCAGAAGAAGTTACATGTCTAAAGGAGGGATGCACTAACACAGACACCTTATTCCAGACTTATGCTCAGGAGCTTCATGGAGGAAGAAGAGGGGATGGGATGGTATAGAGAGATGCTGGTCATCATACAGGAATACGGACATCTATAGTCATCTTGCCTGGGACATTATTAAGCGGAAGAGGACTGCGAGTACTGTGAATGTGATCAGGGAAAAAAAAGTCTTAAGTGAGAAAGTACCCCAGTTGGAGTATGTCTCACTGCTTTCTGGTCCTACAACAGAAACACGAAAACTCAGCACGGAAAATGGAAAAGTGGAGTTGGGCAAGGACCTGCAGGATGGGGTGATTCTGGGGAAAAAAGAACATTTTCTCCCTGTTTTAAAAAGAGGGCTGCTGTCTGAAGGCTTTGGGAAAAATACCAATACACATGGAATTTTTAATCTGGGATAATACAGATACTTTCATGTAAAAGGTACCTAAGCTGGGAGGGCTGGAGAGGGACTTCTGAAAAGTTATGGGAGCCTGTTGTATCAGCCTTGGGCAGGGAAAGTTACTAACCATGCAATTCAAGACTCACACTTGACTCATCTGAGCTCTTATTGCATACTTGTAAATAAAACACTAATGAGACAACTGCTTTAAAACTTGATATATATTAAAATATTAAGAGGAAGACAAGAACTGTGAAAATTGCGTTGCCCCACTGGTCTGTTCAGGCTGCAGCTCTCTCTGGAGAGATTGAAGAAACAACTTATGCTCTATGCAATACACTAAGACCATGAACATTTCTTTTCAGCTGGAATAAACAGGATAAAGTGTGAAATATCTGGGGCCCCATGCAGTTGGGATTACTGCTGGTGTCACGTGTATTTTCCTAGCAGAACTGACCACCTGCTGCTTTGGAGACACTAACTCCCAAAGAAATGTTTTAACCTCCATTTTGCAGAGACTTCTGTCTACTGGAAAAGAAAAAACCCAACAACAAATATTTTGCCTGCCTGTGTGAGAAAGAGGGAGGATGCCCTTGTATAATAGTACAACTTATTCAAGTCACTTAAGTGTCCCACCTAAAAGGCTTCCTTTCCAAGACAGTTACCAGGCTGCTTCTGTAGTCAGTGGAGAGATTTAGGCCCTTTGGGTGATTCATCTCCTGTGATGTTACACAAGGAAAATAGCTGGATGAAATCCGCTTTGATGATGCCTCCCCCAGCAGTTCATTTCCCAACTGACCTTTAAATAAATGGCATATCTAGTAACAGGCTCTTGCCACACTGGGATGAAGATTGCCCACTTGAAACCTCTTCACAGCTTTCCCAATTTATGGTCATGCTCTCTTCTTTGCAAGGAAAAAAAGAGCCTGAACTGAAAAAGGAAAGATGCCTTTCTTCTGCCGATGACCCCAGAAGACCATGTTTGCGAAAGCATTTCCCTTTGTAGCCTCAGCTGCCTCAGAGAGCAAGTCAACTTCTGTGCTAACTAAAGGAGTGAACATTTCATGCATAACACATTTTGGTTTGCTGACAAGACAGAGCGATGGATGGACAAGGGAAACAGCCATTCTTGCTATAACCTTTGTGCGACAACCAATCCCCCTCTAAATTAGCCCAGGAGAAGCCTGTCTGTAGCTCTCCAGTCTTTGATGCAAAGACAGAGAGAGATGCGAGGGCAACGCATGTGGATAAACCAGGCATTTGCAGTAATGGCATCTTATAGCCGTCTTTATCAATGAATCTTCAGTGCAAAGTGAAAATATCCTGGCACAAAAATGACCAGAGCGGTTTGAGGGAGAAAAGTTCATCTCCATGTTAACTATGCTGCCCTCCCCTTTGCACTGATTTAGGTGATATATATAATATTCAGAGAACTGAATCGTATACCCCTAATTCCCCAGCACTCAGTAGTCAGTATTACTAACAGCACAGTCCAAATCCTTCAAGCCTATCCTCAGGCAAAACTCACCCTAAAATCAGTGGGAATTCTGGGTCAATAAAGACTGAACAAGAACCAAAGTCCCAACTCAATTCTCAGTTGAGCTTTGCAGTCCAACCATCAGGACTGGAAATACTTTTGATTTTCACCTTCATGAAAGAACAGCTGGGCTCAGTAAACCCAATTCTACCCCGTCTTAATTCCAGCATCAGCTGGGCAGATACACAAGACAGAATTTGGCATCTGGTTGCTCAAGGGTAAGCCATAAAGTAATTGTAATAGAGGAGAAAGAAATCAAACTCTGAGGCTCTTTTTCTGGTATTCCCTTACCGTTGTTTTCCTGCAACTCCCTGAAAAAAGACTTTTTTTTAAAAAAGCTGTTCAGATTTCCTCCTGTGCCAGGCACTACATTTTGTTTGGCATATACATTTCTGATAGCCTTTCCTCTGCAGATGTCTATAAAGTTCACATCAGTCAGTTCCTCAAACTAGGTATATTAACATCAACAGAGACAATTTTGTTCCAAGCACATTTTTTTTTCTTCGATCTATGCTCTGCTGTTCATTTTTGCTTCTGTAAAGATGACAGTACTGCTACATACCCAGGACAATCAGGGCTCCTGTGATGCTTAACACAGGCTGTACAGTGCCATAACGGCTCATTTTCACCATCAGCAATGAGGCCTGACACCTCATCAGCTTCTGGCACTAGCAGTTTGGTGAAGGAAAGGGGAGATTTCAACTTCATTTCATTTATCCTTTTTGCTTTCGCTAACTCCCTTCCAGAAATGACAATTCTTGAAAATGCACATGTAAAAATAAAGAAAGAAAAGGAAAAAAAGGCAACAACCACCACAAAACCTCCTTCCAGTTATCACTGTAACATTTCTTATGTGGGAGAATAGGGTCCAGTGCCATTTGAGGTGAGGAGGAGGCAGGAGGAGGGGGAAAGGGGCAACATATTTCAGACTCCTTAAAGCCATCACAAGAGTTAGAGATATGAAAAATAGTTTATAATTACCTCTGTTGAGTGAAGCTGAACTGTTTATATCTCCAGTAATAAAGGAAGACTCGGACTGCTTTCGAACTGTGTCATTCCACATCCTACGAATCCGGCTCTGAAGAGGGATTGAACCACAGCAGGTAATGAATTTTTAGCAGCTGCAGATAGGTTTCTTTCTGCCTCACTAAAGATGGCTATTGGCATGTCTAGCTCAGGATGAGACTTGTTTCTAGCCAGCTGTAAGCAAGCGGTTGCTGTTTTGCTATAACCTGCCTCGTGCCTGCTAGACCCTGCTTGCCTAACTTCATAATAAAAATGCCTATCTCAAAGAAGTGCATAATTGCATTGCTTACATCTTAATTAAAAAAAGCAATAGAAATCGTATACGAGAGAAATCCAGGCCCATGTGAGCTGCAGATTTACCAATATAGCACCAAATAGTGGAAAAATAACTTACACAGAGAAGCATGCATGCTTCCCATACTGTCTCAGATGGCTTCGTGTCTTATTTTTTGTGAAGTGTAACAGAAGACTTGATCTGTGTCTTGGTGTCCCTGAATGAACAGACGTTTTCTATAGCTACTATCCATCTTGGGGAATATCAGGAGAAAAAAAACATCCCCCACAAATAAATTACTTCTGTTCCCCTACTGAAAAATCTGTGATGGTTTTGCCATCTGTGGTATAGCTTCTGCTGCTGGGGAAACAGTGTCCCAAATATGCTGGCCTTCTGTTTCGTTTCTCAAATATGCTGTGGAGTACCTACATCTGTGGCTTTTATGCCACTGTCTCGCTCCTCCTCATATAGACCTTGCAAAAGGTCAAAAAATCAGCCAATAGGCATCTTGCGAGTGGTTCAACCATGATCCCTGTGTGAAGATGACTCAGGAACTCAGGTGTCCAGGGGAAACTCTTACTCACCTCACCTCTCAGACTATGATGGACATGTCCCATGGCTGCGTGAAAATGGTGCTAGGTGGTCTGGGGGATCAGGAAGTCTGGTTCCCACTGTGACAGGCCATGTTTTTCCTAATTGCTGAAAATCCAGTCCTTCCCATAGTGGGATCTTAGCCACATGAGATCTTCCAGGGCTTACTCATGTGGTCACAGCTGAAAAGTGTCTCCTAGTCTACTCATTCACTACGTAGTAACAGCATCTCCTAACCATTAGCCCTCTATAAATGGAAGCACAATGTGACATGAGGCCCATGCACTTTCGCAGCAATTATTTTTCACCTGGACATTTAATCTATTGTACTTCTCTGACATGGTCCATTGTGGATTAATTATTCTGTTTCTTAAGTGCTTTTCAGAGAAAAAAAGGTTCTTAGGAGTTTTCTTCCGCATGGACTTCTCCATTCAAAGTTTAGGAGTCAGATGCTTTCAACAACTCTGATCTCCATCCACTCTCCAACACCCGTGTGAGGTTTCTCCTACCTACAGTAGGTCTCAGGCACTTCCATCCTTCCAAGGGCAAGCTTCTGCAGGCTAAATAATCTTCCTTGGTACCTCAAACCTCACCTGCCACAGGGGGACTGCTGCCAGAAGAGTGAGTTCACTCTCAAAAGGGCTTGTTTTCTTGTGCTGAGACTGCCAAGAGGGAGGGCCCACTACAGTCAACTCTTCTCAGAGAGGAGGGCACCTATCCAGTAGCTAAGTTGTGTAAAACCAAAGGCTTTCAAATCAGCCACCTAAATGTTGCTGGATATAGTGAGTCTTGGACATTATTGATTACTGTGGGATTTGATGGCCCACTGGAGGAAGGCTCCATATTCTATTGCTGTTATTTGCCATGCATAACATCCAGGCCTACGTAAATGCCAAAGTGGAGCTCTTGGATGATATCTTAGAAACCATTGAAAATAAATAATAATTTGCTCCAAGGCATAAATTGCAAATTAGGTTTTCCTGGGAGGTTATAAACTGTTACTCGCTGTATGTCTTTCATAATTTAATAGTGGAACTGTCATGTATAATTACTGCCATTAGTAATACTGAATAAATTTGTGTTTGGTTTCTATTGAGTAAGAAGTAAGCTTCTTCATTTTATATCAACTGTTCATCCATAAATCTGCACCTGTACATACAAGTTACCTTCAAAATTGCGAAGAGCAAAGACTATGCAAAACCTGAATTTTCAGGCGACCAAAGTACCACAAATGCAGTAACTTAAGATCATCTGACCCCAATGGATTCCCTAAGAGATCTATAAACTAAGGCAAATTGAGTGAGGCAAGGAATTGATCAAACCACTGAATGTCAGAAAGCAAGCCCTTTCACTGTGAAGGCTATTGCAAGACTCTTATAGTCATTTTTTAGCAAGGAAAGTACTTGGTTGTTATAGCATCATTCCTGTACATGGCAATAGCAGTGACAACAACCTTCAACTTGTGATTAAAGGATGTACTGGGATGTACCATAGCTGACAAAATGCTCCCAGCTCCTGATTCCCATGGAGAGCAAGCAGGATAGCCCAGGTGATGACCACCCACCTGCCTCTGGAAGGAAAATTTGGACTCTATTCTCATCACAATTATTTAGAAGGTTCTTGGAGATACACTAATTGCCATCACATCCCAAGGGAAGCCACCGTGTTGAATTCAGGTCTGGGAGGGAGGGAAATCTCTGCGGGTGCACTGGGGAGAGCCCTAAGGCAGCTCCTTTGGTGCCGAGAGGAGCTTCCTTCCCAGCATAGCTGTGAGGGGTATCGGTGTGGTGGTGCAAAGCATTGGGGTGTGGACAACAGCACGGATTACCTGTGAGCCTGTGGAATATCTTCCAGGTGTCCGCGACCCCGAGGTTTTTCCTGAGCCAATAGAGCTCTCTGTACTTTTCCCACTACAGCAATGCGTGCGCAGGCATTTTCCATACTCTTTACGTACCTAGCCAAAGAAAGAGCAACGGCGGTTAGTGGGCAGCTCCCGCTCCAGCCCACTGCCTTCTGATTTTCAGCACGTCCCCTGATTTTTCCTCAGTGGTTCATTAAAATGATAGCCATTGCAGTATGTGGGGAAGAAGCCTATTATGCCTTGCAGCTGAACGCTCTCGATACGTGAGCTCACCGTTTACGATGGAGTAAGGGACTGCTTTTATGCAGCAAAGCTGCTCATTGACATCGGTCAGTTGTAGCTTCCTCTGAGGCACTTCAAAGGAGCATGGGAGAAACTACAGATACACTATTTATGACTGAAAATTAATATCCTCATAGATTTGATATAAACTAGCATATTGGCTCATCAAGGCACTAGAAGTTATTGCTTCTGACAGGAGTCTAAGAAGAAAAATTCCAAAAGAAACATATAAGAGTTATTGATTTTTATTTTTTTTTAATTATTCTTGCAGTCAAATTGAAACTTGAGGAAACTGTAGAGTCAGCAGCCCTAGAGATTATATTCCCAGTGCAGAGGGGTGGCTGCAGCCTTCTTTCCCACAGCACCCTGCAAGCCAGTCATGTTTTGAACAGGCATTCACAGTCAAACTGGTCAAACTCTTTGCCTGGAGTAAAAGCCGTGCCACCTCCTTTGCTTCAGGGGAACCACACTGGTTTGTGCCAGGGCAGGATCTAAGCTTTGAGCTTCAGGTGTGATTTTTTATGGGCAGCAATACCCAGAAACCATATGGGACAAGGCTGAAAATGAGCAGACTGTACTGAAAAGCCAAAAGAAGGTCATGTTGCCCATTGACAAAAATAGCCCCCAAACCCCCATGCATGTCCAAAACACCAGTTGAAGTTCCTTGGAGCACATGGTTAGCTGTGAAATTTTGCCAGACTATCTATGAGCATTCCAAAACTCTGCGAAACAACTGTTTAAATAGCAAATTACAGCTTTTTCATTAGGCTCTTCCTTAAGCGCTTGAGACAAACACAATACCATGAGTGCCCAATATGCTCGAGTGCCTAATCAATCCTTTGCTGAGAGAAAATAATTCAATTGCTTTAATTAGCCACCCACTGCTTGCCTCTCTGCAGCTTTTTGCTGATTTTCTAGTCCATGATAGATAGGAAAGGGTTTTTTTTCTTTTTTTTTTCCTCCTCTCAAATAACTCCTCCCTCAGGTCTTGGCTCAGAGAGATGCATCCACCCTGCAGCAAGGTACCAGCTGCATTCTCCTTCCCTTTATGCAGCCATAAATCAGGAGCAATCCCAGAGTCATCAGTGATGGTTTAAGTGTGTAGATTGGCTTGAGAGAGAAAAGAGAATGTTTTTTCCATGCTGAGTGAGCACCCTGGTAGCCAAGGAGGCTGTGGTGCCGTGTTGGGATGCTGAGTTAGGGGCTGACCCTTTGCCAAGTCCATTGGAGGCAAGAGAGGATGGGCCAGTAAGAATGGTGCAGAAATACAAACTCCTAGTCAAAGAGGCACCTGCATGCTTAATTAGTGACAGTGATGCTTCCTACATTCTTATTATCAACTTGCCTGGAAACTTTCTTGCTGAAAGTTTTGGGATCATCAGCAGGCAGTTGCATCTAGATAAAGCTTTTAAGATGAACAAATTTGAGATGAAATAACAAGGACAAAACTCTGAACCCCAACAGTCTTCCTTTGATTTCAAGAATGGCATTTTTGCATAGCTCTGCAGATCCTTCCAGAGGTATTGCTCGCAGAGCTCATTGCTATGATGAATTTTCCTTATGTTTTCATAGGTCAGATCTCACTTCCCTGTATGGGAAAATGTGGGTGACACAGGAGCAAGCCTGGGGCTCTCAGATGGAGAACAGTCCTCAACATAGCCCTAACTTTACCCAGTAAGCCATTTCACCAAAAGGCACTGGTTACGCTGAGAAACTGGGACCCAGATGTATCCACATATAACCTCTTCCCTATGTTTATACTGGATACAGAAACTGCCCTTTGAAACCAAGTTGGTACATAAAAAATTATCAGCATACATGCACAGAATTGGAGAGCTCTGTACTACTGAATTTCAGTGGAGAATAAAATGGTTCTTAAAAATATTTATTACTGATTGTCAGAGGTTGTTTGATCCACATATACACACAGAGATTTTTATTTTGACTTTTTTTTCCCCAGAGTTTACCTAAGTTACTCCACTGTTACCTTGCAAATGTTAATTGGGGCATACTTCATGTTCCACCAAGAAGCACTTACTGCGCTTGCTTTGAAGAAGACTTCCAAAAGCCCACATTAGGAACAAGCAATAAAAGGCTAATGAACTCTTACAGAGCACAGGTCCTTCAGTTCTTAAAAAAGCTGGGGAAGCAGCCCCTGTTACATACCACCAACCCATATATGCTGCCACAGAGAGGGCTGACTTCCTGCAGGGACTGCAAACGAGGGTGTAAAGCTCCATTTTGCTGCGAGCATTCACCCACACTAGGACCTTCGTGGAGCCGCTCCCGCCTCACACTGGCACACGGGAAAGGGGAATCTGGCCGATGGCAGGCAAAGCCCTTTCACGGGTTCGCTACCGTAAAGCCCTGCAAACCGCCGGCTGCCTTCCCCTTGCCTCCGCCGCGCTCGTCGCCAGCGCTCCGCTGCTGAAATCCCGCTGACACGTATCTTTGCTATTCCCTCATTCTCCTTTATCTTGCCAGTTTCCAGCCTAAATACCACCCTTATGAGGTGCACGGAGATAAATCTGCATGAGGCGAATTCAGGGCACACAGATGATGTTACGCTGTGGTTGTTAGGCAACAAAAAACCCCATTACCACCTCTTTTACCACTGGGAACCGTCTGTCTTACCTTTTTCTGGAGGACACAATGGAAAATGAATATAAACATTCCCTGCAGAGAATTGAATATGGTGAAGAGATACGCCATGATGACTGTGCTTTCATTAATATACATGAGTCCAAACGCCCAGGTCAGTCCTAATAGGCAGAGTAGGGCTATTGCACCTATAACCCAGGACCTGTTAGGAGAAGCAAAAAAAACCAGAAAGGGATTGGTTTTTCATGTACAGAAGGCAGCAGACAACTACAAGCAGGAAGACTTTTCCCGTGATTTTAGCAAAAAGAAAATAGCATAAAAAAATGAGTAGTAGGGAGTTTTTATCTTTAAGCTGGATACAGTTTACAAATCTTCAAGCTTGAGGAAATATACGGAAATGGAAATGTTATGAGCATAGAAATTTATCATAACCAAAGCATATTTGTAACCACAATGTTTCTTTTCTTTTTTTTTTAATGTAAAAGCAGTGTGTATGTAAATGACATGTAGATGTTATTTCTGCAAATGGCAGGAAATGAAAATAAACCAACTAAAACAGCAACTCTAAATGTAATTTTTTTAGTGTCCACAGGTTTCACTGGGGAGGGAGTACCAGCTGGATTAGCTTCTTTACACTTAACACCAAGACACATGTATTGCTGCATTTTAGCTAGTCTCCCATATGCCATTAAGCCAGATAAACTACAAGCAGGTGGGCAAGCCCTCACCGCTTGCCAGATCAGCTCCACACAAAGAGGCTCTCTGCAATGCTGCTTCACACTTCTTCCACCCTGCGATGAGGGGAAATACATATATACACATGTACAGGTGCTCACACACCACATTTGCTAGAACAGTAGCTGCTGTCACACTTCTGCTCAGAGAAAAGGAGGAGCAATCCTTCTTCACACAGGCTGCAAAACTGAGATTTATCACTTGCTCCACCCAGGAGGGAAGTGGGAGTAGGGGTGCAGCCACTGCTTGGCCCCAAAAGTTGTTCAAGCAAATATGGGTTTGCTGCAAATAATAGCCTGCAGTTTCTGCTTGCTTTCTCCCAGCAACTTTCTGCTTGGACAGATAGAGGTGGGAACATGGGATGGCTGCTGCAAGTTATTTTTTTCAGTGCACTTTCAAGAAAGCTGGAAGTTCTGCTGGAATGGCAGGAGAAGTATTACATGTTACCGTGTTAAATAACATTTAGTCATCTGCTAAATTAACTTCTCGGAGACTGATCTTCCAATACTAGAATGTGAGATGAAGTGTGCAAGCAGGAAAGGAACTGGGTCCTGCTCCTAGCCATCTCCCTAGTTTCCACATGCTAATTTACCTACAACTTTAAAGGAATTGCTGCTGCACAGGGGAGGTAGTCAACTTCTAGCTGGGAAGCACAGCGGGAAGCAAGCAGCACCGTGAGCATTTGCCCTTTCCCCTCAGGGCCTTGACTTTCTACTGTCTTACCCTGGTATCATTAGGTGTAACGTCATAAAAATTAATGCAATGATACTCAATCTTTACACCCCTTCCACAGCACTTAACCCTCCAGTAACCCAAAGCAGACAAGCCTGCATCCAGCCAGCACCTCTGCTTCCTTGTTCGCCCCAAAGCAGCCTGGGGTGTTGCAGAAGGGCTCGCAGGGACAAGGACCTGCCTACGTTTCTAAACCACTTCAGCCTTGTAGAAACTTGGCCAGTGTTCAGGCATATTTGGGCTTCCATTTGCTAAGCAGAGAATGGGGCAAGGGGGAGAAAGATGAAGCAGCAGCAGCTCAGGGGAAAAGTAAGTCCTGCAGAGGTCAGGCAGGCAATCTCCACTACGGAGACTGCATGGCAGCCGCAGTCTTAAATCCTTTTCCTTTTAGCAGGGCTTGTCACAAACAGAAACACCAATGTTGTATTCATGTTTGCTGTTATTTTTTTCTTTAGGTATTAGAATGAAAATACAGCATTAAGTCTTCCACTGAAGTTGATAAAATATGTATTGTTTAACCACACGAGCAGAAGAGCTCCCTAAGGTAACCGTTTATTAAGGCAGTTCTTTAAAAATCACTATTATGTATCTAGTAGACCAGAACAGCTCCTTTGAAGCATTTCCAGTCAATCCCGCTAATAAATATTTAGCATGACGCAAATTGAAAATGCACTCTAAAAATCCTTCAGAAAGGTAGCCACTAGATAAAGTTTACAGTTTTAGCCACTTGGTATATTATTCTCCCCAAGATTCCACCACCAGTGAGAGCACATTATCATCTTAATTGCATGCCAATTTAAAAAATAGAAATATTTTTTTTCCTTAAAAAAAGAACAACAAATTAAGTGGAAACCACTTTTTTTCCCCTCCCCCATCTCTTCTCCTCCATGATTAAAAGCTTTCTGCATTTACAGTCTTTTAAAAATTATTCCCAGGGTATCCGAAAACTATTCTGCTCTGAAGCATGGCCAATTTTTGAACTCGATTAAAGAGACTTTGGCTGCAGAGGTGTGCAGAAGTGAAACAGTTATTTAGTGGAAATATGCTACCTTCAGTGATGGAAAGGAATCTGTGGGTTAGAAGACCCTCAACATTGCAACCTGCAACCATTACAGTGTTGTGCTTCAGCAAACAAGAGCTGGACATAAAAAGGGTGTGAAGATTACTTTGAATAGCTTCATCCTGTATTCGTGGAAAAACAAAGAACCCAGCAATGAAGGAGAACATGGGAATGATGCTGCAAGAATGAACACAAAGGACTCTTCACCAGAAGAACAAACTGAAAGTCTACTGCAAAGTTGATTTGCTTCCATTTCGTGCTACTGCACATTATTTTTTGGTTGCAGGAGAAAAAGCACGGATGCCCTAAGGCATGTAATTTCTAGGCATTTTTGGCTTTGTTCACAGGTTTTTTTGGTGTGGCTTGGGTTTTTGTTTTGCTCTTTGTACAGACTTGCTGTTGCTTTTTCATGGTTTTTCTTTTCCGCAGTGCAATTTTACAGCAATTAAGAAACAGAACAATCCATGTTTTTGTGTAATTGAAAATCAGAGATTTACAATTAGGGACAATTAGGTACTCCAATGAATAAGGAGACTCTCCAATGCCTTGAATACACATTTTTTTGCACTGCTCCCATTAACTAGAATGGTAATCACAGGGATTATCATCTATGCACCTTTCTGAAAATTTACTTCTGTATTTATATTACAATAAACCACTCTCAGTGACAGAGAACAGTGGACCAGAGGGTTGCTGTTGGTATAACAAGTCTGTACTACACAGGATTAACTTGGGAATGTTCACTTTGAATTCAAGTAATGTCCAATCAAACAATAGAAAGCCAATACGGTGACAATTGGTTGGCAATACATATGCAGCACATTTACTCTGCACATTAGCTGTATGCCTGACCGTTTTCCTGCACAGTTTGCTCTTCTGCCTCAAACGTGAATGACAGAAGCCTTAATGATTTTTCAATATTGATCTGACAGCTGGTTCATGAGACCACACTGATAAATGAAATTTATCAGCCATTCAGGTCATTCTTACTTGATGAAGGGTCTGTTATCCTCATAGCTAAAGAATGCATAGACATAAAGACAAGAACACCAACATTAGAAATATAACGACACAGAGAATACAGCTTATTGCTAGTCCCCCTCCCTTCTCCCACCAGCCATCACCAAAACCAAAGGTGGACTGGCATCAGGTGCGCCTGGTACACACCAGCCAGCCTGGCTTGCTGCCCAAGGGCATTGAAACACGACCAAGGATGTTGGCTTCACACACAGAAGTGAGCATAGTTAGCTGCGAGCTGCAGCTACCCCTCCTGGCTCCGATCACACAACTGTCAATTGACTTTGAAATCTCTTTTAAAAATCATCAGTATCTCTGAAGAAGATGAGTTTTGAAACTCCAGCACAGCCACCACAGCAGGCTTTCATGCATTCAGGTAGCAAAACTTCACCGTGCCTCCAGCACGCTCCATCTGCGGTGCTGTAGTGTATTACATGAACCTCTTTATGGCCGTTTACTTTTCATAAGTGTAACTCCCCAAGTTGCCAACTTACGAGCCAGACTGCAGCGTTATCTTCTTTTTGAGATAACAGCATTAGGATCTCCTAAAGGCCTGCGTGACAGAAACCATAGACCTATTTACTCCTGTTTCACAGGGAAGGACAAAGAAAGGACTCTGCCAAGCAAGAGTGCAAAGCAGCCTGCTGCAGTGATGAGGAAGCCAAGATGGACCACTCAAAATGAGCTTCGGCCACGGTGAGAACACAAGATTAGTTGCAGCCATTTTCCCAGGGGATTCTCCCTGACCCCTGACCTTCCGGGACAGGCTTTATGCCTAACTCTGCCTGTGTGGAGGGTGATGTTGAACACGTGGGGAGGGCAGGCCAACTCCCCGGCCTCCTCTCCTCCCCGGCATGGAGATTTTGAACCTGTGATCCCTTGCAGTGGCCACCATGGGTGACAGAGACGGAGGCTGGCACACTATGTTCATCCAGCGTCAGCCAGGATCAGTCCATCCTGCTTCCTCCTTCAGTCAATACTGGCAACCTGTCAAGCTATACCCTCTGCTAAACAAACTGCTCTGCTTTGGAGGAGGCCCACTTCAGACCAAGTTAGAATGAAGCTGTATTAAAACTGAATGATTTTCAGCAGTAACTTCTGACTGAGAGGGACACTAAGTACGTCCAAGATGAAGTTTTGTGTTTTCTCCTCACGACGGATAAAACCATGTAGGGACAACTTCTGCACAATTCACATGCACCTGAAGGCACAGAAGGGCCATCTGAGTATCAATGGGAGCAGGGTTTAGTCCTTACGGGAGGAAAGTGTTTCACACAGTACATTCTGCAAAACATTCCCGTTTTCTCCCCACCTTGACCTTGGCTGACAGAAGAGGCAGCAATGCTGCCAGTCCCAGCTTTGCCCTGGCTGGTATAGTCACCTGGGGTCTTTGGGAAAGGAAGGGACAGTCATTGAATGGACTAGGTCTGTCCACACTCATAACACTTGCCCTAACCCCCTCTGAGCAGTGAGATACAAGTAGAGGACACACCACAGGGGACAAAGAAGTTGTCCCCACGTCACTGACAGGTAAGCAGTGCTATCTCAGCTTGAGCACCTACAGCATTCCTGGCCTGTAGCCCTCCCTGCCTCCATACCCATCCCTCCCAACCATTGACAGCTCCCTGCAGCTCTGCTCCAGCACCCAACCACCCCCTCTGACATCCCTGTCTGCTATCCCTGCAGGGATCCCCCCGATCATCAACTGCCACCCTGACAGCTGCTCTCCTTAGATCTTGTGACACATCTGCCAGCCACATGAGGACTTCTGAGCTACCCTAGGTTGCCCAAAGGTGTATCTAACAACACACAGGGAAAGCACAAAGCATATCAGGATCAGGAAGGAAGGAGGAAGCAAGTGCAGAGGAGGTAGCCTGATGCAGGGAACTGAGTCCCTGCTTCCGAGACACAGCAAGAAAAGCTCAGCTCCTTTGTCTTAGCAAAGTATTGGCTTAGTGTGACCTCTGCATCTGCAATGCAACTGGGGAAGTACCAGGAACACAGAAAATGTGGTATTAAAAGGCTCTCCCCTTAGCAGCACCACCGGGATCTCCAGCCCATCCCAGTGCAGAATGATGTTGGTCAAATCCCTCTGCTTCTGTTTGCCCTCTCATCCACTCAGCCTGCAAGATCATCGGGGCAGGTTACCGTTGTGCTCGTGGCATGTCTAGCACCGCAGGACCTGCAACTCCCCTGCGATGCAATTAAATTAAACAAAGTTGTGAGACAGCCTGGAGCTCCCAACCCAGCGTTGTGGGCAGGAGCAGGGCACGAATTTCTGTTACTGTGTTCACAAACACTCAGATTTTATAGTAAAGATTTTACTGTTGAAGTGTCACTGGTGGTAGCTTATAAAAAGAGAAAATTAGGGAAATTTTTTGCTCTGTTGCTGCTATTCAGACCCTCACAAAGTTTTTCAGTGATCTGCAATAGCCTTTCTTCAAGGCAGCTGAAGGGTCCATTTCATCTTTGTACAGACAAAACATGAAATTGGTAAAGCTGGATTGCCTTTTAGCTTGAGGGTAACACTTCAAAGCAGCTCAGGAGAAAACCGTGAAAAAGACCCGAGCAGTTTGTATGCCATTTCCAACCTGGATGTGTCTAGGACCCACTGCCCAAAGCAAGCAGGTACCCAAAGAAGTGAGATTTTCAGAGACGCCTAACTCCCAAACACTTCAAATCTCTACACATAGAGCCTGTACAACTTAGTCTCCTATATCCCTCATGAAATACAGATCATTCCTTTTCATTTTACCAACTCAAGTGTTGTAAGAAGCTTAACTCTTGTGTTAGCAACAATTCGTGTCTGACAAAAATTATTGCAGAATGTTTTTTTTTCCCCCGGTGAAGTCTGTGAAACCTACCAGTGCTGCATTAATACTGTGTCATTATCTGCAATACATAAAAAACATCCCTTAGACAAGAGAAAAGCCTTGGAAGAGCTTTAGCTCACAGGAAAATGGAGCTGCTAACTGGAAAACTGAGATTATATTCACTAGCTGTACAAGCAAATAATAGTCAAAGAAGGAATTGTTGGAAAACCTAGCCTAGCACAGCTTGAGACACTAAATCTAAAGTGCTTTCTCCAGATTTCGATAAATTCTTCCAATTCCTGGCAGTAAGGGATACAGCCCATGGAATTCAAACTATGTGACTCTGATCTCGTCATAGTTAACGGGAGACTTGTACTCCAAAAGAGCAACTTATCCCCTACAAGAACAGGTATTTAAGGTAGGTGAGGCTTCAACATTCCCTGAAGAAATACCTTTCTCTACTGACTGCAGAGGAAACCTGAATGATGGCTTAGGTGGGGGCTTCACTTTTAAAATACTTGAAGTTAAAAAGCCTATCTTTAGTGGTCGCATTATTCCTCTAACCTGTGAAATCTTACCTCACCTCTCTTGTGTTTCTTTGCAGCCTAGATGATGGATAGCGAATGGTCTACCAATCAGTATAAATACCTAATTCATTTTCTAATCTTAAAAAAGTCCTGACTTTACCCTGGGGCAAAGACTTCTTAAGGTTAATTACACATCATGTAAAACTCTTTCAAAATCTTATTTAAGTTAAGTTAGATGTCTTTCAATCTCCCAGAGTACTGTCTCCTTAAACGACGAGAAAGGATTGTTCGTTCATATTACCTTCTATATTCCTGTGACATTTCCGGAACACTTTTAAAAAAGTATTTAAGACATAAAATTAAAATAAAGACATTTCCAATACTTTTTTAAAAAGTTGCTAAAATTAGCTACTTATCTCCTTGTTTACATGCTTAAGGAATTTCAAAACCAATGCTCAGAAACCCCTTTCACACTGCCTATTCTTTTAAAACCCCAACATATACCTTTTTGACACAAGGTGACCGAATTGACAGAATATACACTCACAAACCAATACAGAGGTGCAGAAAATCTGCAACTTACATTACATGGTGCAAACCACTTCCATATATGTAGATTAGCAATATCTTGGATTGCTAAAGTCTTCATTTTTTTTGCAGCATGAAAAGGCAGGCAAGTATTTACCTTCACACACAGATTCAGCTAAAATGCTGCTGAACAGAGAAAGCCTGTTATCAAAAAGCAGCTATTCAGGTATCATTTAAAAAGAATAATGTCTGGTCTTCTTACATTTTGAAAAGATTTGTTTGATATTTAATGAAGTGTCATTTTTGAGCCACATTTAGAGTAAAATTGGGCCTTTAATAAAACCCTATGTAACTAATCAACTTCAGGTGTTAACATTTTATTCAAACCTTTATGGTTTAACTTCACCTAACTTGAATTTATCACTCTTTTGACAATTCAAAGTATTTTCCCATCTCTCCAATAAGCAGGAAAAGGCTCAGTAAGTACATGGACTCAGTTCTCGGTCCCCAAAATAACACAGTTTGGCTAGCGAGCAAAAATGCCAAAGTCAGTACACAGGACCTTTAGTAGCTGTTACGGGTGATGAAACCCAAATAAAAGTAGATGGATGATGTGCCCCCTCAAAAGCTGTGGAAATTCATTTTAATATGGCACAATAAAGCAGACAGACAGACATTTCCTGGAGGCAAGCATGAGAGACAAACAAAATAAAGCGTGCTATTGTGTCTCTCCGCTGCCTGCCAATATGAGGCAGTAAGGATGTTTGTTTTCTTTTTCTTTTTTTTTTTTCTTTTTTTTTTTAATTTCAAGGATTAGAAAGGATTGATTTATCAAACTGCTGAAAATCTACAGGAAGGAGTTGGAAAGTCCAACACTCCCCTCATAAAGCAAACGGGTTCATTGCTAATTAGTGAAGGAGCGTCTTCATGGTGAGAAAAATCAATTGCAAGCAATAAAAGAGTGCTTAAGGGATTTTGCCTTTGCATTTTGTGACAAAGTTACCACCTTGACGGCACAAAGCCAAATGTCTTCCTAACCACCTTCCTTAGGCTGCTGGCATTCATCACATGGCTTTCCAAGCCATCATTTCCAGGTCTCATCTTCTGGCTCCTGCACCATCTTTGACAGGAG